TAATAATAATAGATGGCATTTGCACAGCTCAAATCCAGCTCAACAGCAAGCTCTATGCTCTTTACAGTCTATACTATTACCCCAGCATATTATCTGAGAGCATTCTGAAACAAGCTCAACTTCCTGGGAAGCTTACAGTGCAAGCTGCCATTTATAGGCGCTAAAACATTAACATACTGACAAGATCTTTCGCTGTCTGTGGCCGGATACCCATTCCCACCTGGGTGAAGTGAGGAATATTCGTGTAAAGTGCCTTTCCCAAGGACACAAAGTCGGGGCGTGGCTCGAACTCCCGAACCCGCAACCTCACGATTACGAGTCCGGTAGCCTAACCACGAGGCCAGCGACGCCATCATTACACGCCAACCTCTGAGTCAGAGATGATACCTCCAGCGACAGCTAGCAAGTACTGTGGTGGGCTGAAAAGTAATTAATTTCTATTTGGTCACGACCTTATCTTTACACGCTGCCTGCTTCATATAATTTTATTTTAATTTGTTGGCATTGTCTATGTTGCGATCCACACAGAGCCGCCAACTCCGGTAAAGTTGGTGCGTCCGCTCAGCGGAGAAATCAGCAGTTTCGTCTACACCACAACCACGAACGCTGGCCTCTACATCAGTACCGTTGAGCTGTCATTCTTTTAAAATACAGTATATTATGCACTTTTTGCAATTTTACACGAGAGCCCAAAAACCCACAAAAAACAACAACCCAATAACAACCCCCCCCCCAAAAAAAACCCACCTGAATATTGTTTCCAAAAAAACAAACTCTTTGTAAACACAAGTCAATATTCCCGAGATTACAATTTTGATAATTACTTACTATCTTGAAAGCAAATATGAGAGAGCATGGTGAAATCAGGCGCTCATTAAAATAATCAAAGTGAAGAAACTGGTATTTTCCCACAGATTTGTGAATTTTTATCGAAATTTCGTTTTTTTGGCCAACACATTTCATGCCCCTTAAAGAACACATTTCGGTGTGGATTTTACTGAAAAATGTTGATTAAAGGCACAGAAAATGTATATTTTCAGTTTACACGGACTGTTAAGCAAAGAAAATAACTCATCTTTGGCGGCTACTTTCTCACTTATTTTAGATCTGAGACCCCACCTGTATTCAAGTTAAATGGACATTTTTTTCATCCAGAGCAAGACTTATGAACAAGCTTTAAGATGATACCAATAACTCCAATTGCTAAAAAAATTGACGAGCGCCTGATTTCGCAACACTGCCTCACATATTGTTTTATTGGTACGACATTCAGTTGTTTTGTTGTTGTTGTTGTTGTTGTTGTTGTTGTTGTTGTTGTTTTTGCTTTTGTTTCTTTTAGTTCTCCTGTAAAACTGAAAAAACTGCAGATACTGTAGTTTTAAAAAAGACGACAGCATAGTCACAGAGGTTACCTTTCAGGTTTTGCGTTACGTGTTGGCCATGGGGCAGGGGAACAAGTCCAAAGGGGCAAGATCGATCCGGACTATACAACGGACGAGGAAGGATCAGACTTGTGAGCGCCTGTAAACTAGAAGCTTGCCCTGTATGTTTCCCAAGAAGTTGAGATTGTTTCAGAATGCTATAAATTCTGCTACGGTAATAATTAAAATTGTAAAGGGCCTAAAGATTGCTGCTGAGTGGGAATTTACGTTATACACGTTGTATTTGCTTTGCAGGCGAGTAGTACTTTTGAAATGGAAGTTACCAACAGCGATGGAAACTTAACTGCATTAAAAGACTGTGTCACAGAAATTCGGGCACATTCTACCGAGCTATTCGGGGCAAGCCCAAATGTGGCAGATTGCAAAACACCATGGACTGTCCAGAACATCGGGACGTTGACTGCACCAGACACTTTCAGCTGCAATGAGACAAAGTCACTGACAAATGAGGATGGCATCACTAAGTGTTGTAAGTACCTCTGCACCCCCCCC